AAAAAAAAAAAAAAAAATAGAAATAAAAGAGGACTGGAGATGTAACTCAGTGGTAAAGTGCCTCTGGGTTCAATCCAGCACCAAAAAAAATTTTAAAAAGGGCAGGGGGGTGAGGGGAGGGAGAGTGCTCCTGTCATGCGCTTTACTCCTTGAAAATGTACCTGGCTTCTCTACCAGAGAATCTGCTCTTTGTATCTGATGTTCCCTTAGTYCACTCTGAGCCAGTTCCATCTCGGGTAGTCTGGGGTTTGTGATGGCTGGGAATAGCTGATGACTGCTCTTTAAATAACTGAGGGCACCACGTCCTTTACTGCTACCTTCCTTTAGATGGAAGAAAGGAAAAGAGGGAGTGAGGGAGGAAAAGAAGAAAGGGAGGTGGGACAAAAAAATCTTCAACTCATTCATTTAACAAATGATAATGCCAATTAAGCGCTAGACTGTCTTTAAAAGTTTGCTTTTCTGGCACTCTTAAATTAACACATCTAAAGCTCTTAAAAATAACAGTCAGTCATTTTTCTAATAAAGACATTTTATTTCTCAAAAGAATCGGCAGATCCATGCTACCAACAGTCCACCAAAAAAAAATTAACGCTTGAAAATAAACCAGTAGCACCTCACCTCCAACAACTCCAATACACAAGTAAAGCTCCTGAACCGTGTTACAGAAAGAAGCCGCAACCAAGCCACAGCCAGACAAGCAGCCACCAGCCATCATGACGGGACGACTGCCGTACTTATTCACCAGGATACTGCTGATGGGACCTGGGAGAGAACAGGCAACTYAGCAACGCAGAGAAGCCCACTCCCCACTTCTGCGTCCACACGAGGCATTACGGACAAGATAGGCGTCAAGACAAAACCCCCATCCCCACAACAAACAGAGAAAACACAAAGCCGGGTAAAGAGCTGCTTTCCATCATGATTGCATGCTCATTGATTTGTGTAGTGGAAAAAAAACAGCAGCATTGATTGTACATCTTCTGTGTTTCTAGAACATATTAGATGGATTCATCGCAAGAAGAAAAGCCCTCACTCTACCTCTCCCAAGGTAGAACGGGCTGCACATTCCCTGATTCTAAGTCTGTAGGGATCTTCATGTGTTTAGAACATTATTAACGTAACTGTAGCAAGTCTTCTCTGTTCTTGATTTGTGGATAGGTATCTGGAGTGCAGACATGAAGACAACAGTCAGKAGGAACAAATCACTAGCTAGTATGTGTTTTGTTTCTCACAGAAAACGATAACAGAACTACAAAACAAAAATGCCTACGATCACTACTTTTCTTCAGCATTATACTGGAAGTCCAAGCCAGTGCAGTAAGACAGGGGAAAATAGGGATAAGGAAAGRAAGAAACCAAACTATCATTATTTGTGGAAGATATTTTGAATATCCAAAAATTTTGACAGACTCTACCAATAAATTAATGGAAACAACAAGCATTGAGCAAGCTTACGGGATATACAATGAAAATACAAAAATCAATTGCCTTTGTATATATCAGCAAAAGCAGAAAACACTTTTTTCCCCCTCCCTGCAGTACTGGAGATTAAACCCAGTGCATGCTAAGCAAGCACTCTATCACTGAGCTGCACCCCAGCCCAGAAAATGCATTATTATTATTATTATTATTATTTTATTTCATATTGGGGATTGAACCCGGGGCACTTTACCACTGAGCTACATTCCCAGACCTTTTTATTTTTTTAATTTTGAAATAGGGTATTGCTGAGTTGCTTTGGTCTAACTTGCTGAGGCTGGCCTTAAACTTGCAATTCTCCTGCCTCAGTTTCCTGAGTTGCTGGGATTATAGACTTAATGTAATCACCATGGCCAGCCAGAAAACACATTTTAAAAGAACGTTATCCTTTATATGACTCSAGTTTTGGTCATAGTTAACCTAAGAGGAACATATAGTTGCTATATAGTCTTTACTGATAAAAGGAAGGRAAAATGCGATTCTAATCACCTAGCTTCAAGAACAACCTTTCGAATACCTCACTGATAAGGGCACCAGGAACAGAAAGCACCTACTACAGAGCTTTTGCCTGCCTACTGGTAGTTAAAAGAGCAGGCCTCAGTGGTACTCACCGCCYCCATACATGACAGCAAACATGATGGAGGAGATCCACGACACTTCACTGGTGCTGGCATCAAATAGACCTTCAATTTCTTTGTAAAATACAGAAATAGATTTGGCAAATGCACAWGAGAAGCCGATAGAAATGAAAGCACCAACAACCACTGCCCACCCCCAGCCTCCATCTGGGGGGGTATATCCAACTGGACCTTCATTTGACGTTGACATTGTACGTAAAGATGAATTCCAAATACCTGAAGGATCTGAAAGGAAAGCAGTAGGTAACAAGGAGGTCAAAAATAATATACATACTATAAAATTATAAAGATTTAATATCTCCCTTGCAATGTTTTCTCCTTTCCAGAATTTATCCTCTAATGTTTACCTAGTTTTTATTTTCTATAGGACTAACAGGCTCATCTAAAAATGTCAGGAACGACAGTGTTATCTATAACGCACTAGACATACAGCAATCTACAGCATGTGGAATAGAAAGTTATCTCAGTAAGTTTGCTTTTCATCCAGCTGTTGAGGTATTTTTTTTTTCTATTATGTGACAGGAAGGATTCCTAAATGATAGCTTAATATAGTTTCAATGAATCAATTTCAGAAGCTGGCAGTTTTAAATCAAAGACTTTCCCTTTTCTTGTTAAGTCATCCAGTACTAATGAAGAAAAAAAATCAGTAGAAATATACTGTAAGATTTTAATTAGTAGCAGGTGGGAGAGGCTGGGAATAGGTTTACTGGTCCACTTTAAAGAAATTACCTTCTCACTGGTTGAGGTGGCCCACACCTGTTGTCCCAGAGACTTGGGAGGCTGAGGCAGGAGGATCTCAAGTTCAAGGTCAGCCTGGGCAAGTTAGAGAGATCTGTCTCAAAATTCAAAAGATTAAAAAAAAAAGGAATAGTTCTGTTAAGACACTAAAAACCTTTATTAGTTTCTGAATATGATTTTTATAAAGTTTCTAAAAAGTTTTATAAAATTGTGAAATGTTTAGGGTTTGTGCAACTTTTGTTAGATTTAATCTTAGGTACTTTTTTTGTTAAGTAAGAAATAAAGTAGTAACTTTTTTTCGAACCCAGGGCCTTGCTTTGCAGGTGAAGCAAGCAGTCTACCAAGTGAGCTATATCCCCAGCCCTGTTAAGTAGTAACTGTAAAAAATATTCTTCTGATGTGTAAACACAATTGACCCATTTAAATAACAGCTTTATTGATAGATATAATTTGCATATAATAAAATTTATCCTTTCAAAGTGTAAAACTCAGTGATTTTTAGTATATTCACAGAATTATGTAACTATCACCATCTGATTTCAGTTGAAGTTTCCAACTATTATTGTCATGGTTGAATCCTGGATCATCCCTTGAAAAGCTCATGTGCTCAGCAATGCAGGAATGTTCAGAGGTGAAATGACCAGATTATGAGAGTTGTACTCCCAGCAGTGGATCCATTCGCTGGATTAATAACTTGAATGGACTACTGGGTGGTACCTGTAGGCAGGTGGGCTTGGCGGGAGGATGCAGGTCACTGGGGCGTGCCTTTGGGGACTACCCCTTTTCCCTGGCTCCTCAATCTCTCTTTCCTGGGGCTGCCAGGAGCTGAGCAGTTTTCTTCTGCCCCTGCACCGAGATGTTCTGCCTCATCTCAGGCCCGGAGCAAGCTCACCAGGAAATGAATCTTGGGAAACAGTGAGCCCCAAATAAACTTTTCGTCCTCTAAGTTGTTCTCTTTTATTCCCACAGCTCTACTGAGGTCAAATTGAAGTACAATATGATGCATATATTTGAAGGATGCAATTTGATCAGATTTGACATGTAGGTAACTAATACAATCAATATAAAAACATTTCCAGCCGCGTTCCTGGAGACAAAAACACTCAGGGTCACTCCAGGGGAACTGGGCTGCATGAAATACCTTTTTCTTTGGGGGTCCTGTGACAGCTCCTTTGATCTTAAGGGTCCGCAGAAAGAGAGAGAGCGCATCCTGACCCCTTTTATTGAGGAGAAGCCATTCAAGTGAGGCAAGGGGTCAGGTTTCAAGGGGCTGAGTCTAGCTTCATGATGTCTGCTGGCAGGAGGCGCTGACTGACATCTAGGAAGGCCACACCCAAAGGCAGAGCAAGAGAAGGGGACACACAAAGGGCGTTCCCATGGAACATTCTGTCCCAAACAGGCAAAGGGGTAATATCACAAAGAACAGGTGAGCGTAATTAGATCTATGGGGCTGCAGGAAGGCATGCCAATGCATAAAGACGCATTCTGCTACTTTGAGGACTGGGGCAGCCGTCTAGGGCCACTGTGAATGTGGCCAGATCACTACAAAAGTGACCGACAGAGCCTCTACCAATTACGGGAAGAAAAATGCTGGTCAYTCAGAGCGAYGGCCCCACCACAATTTCCATTACTTTTTTTTTTTTAATTTGAAATCATGCAGTTTCCTTCATGATTTAGAAATCAATCAAGATATATAGAACCCCACTCCCACATGTCAACTATTTCAGAATTAAATGGCACACTTATAAATATCTCAGAGGGCAAGGGAGCAAGCACAGAAAATTAAATAAAAAGTGCTTTGAAGTAAGTGATAATAAAAGCTTAAAATAGCAGGATCTCTGGGATGGACCAGTACTCAGATAAACATTTATAACTTAAAGTA